ATACAAAGACTGTTATACGAATCTTTTATAACGGTGAACAGAGGGTTGATTAGCCCTCGTTTACACCAAAGTAATACATGTGTATAACAAATTATAAACAATGGTATAATTTTTTGCTGATTTTTATATACCTGCATGTATAAAACATAAAGTATACAATACTTGCATCAAACTTGCTGGATACACAAAAGATGTGAAGTAAATAGAGATTTATACTTGTAAAGATACTCGTTGTATGTAAACGAAAGAATGTCACAACAAGTATTCCACAAATTTTGTGTAAAACTAGTATATGACTTGTATATTGGTGTAAAAAAGGAGTTAGAAATATATGCTGTGTGTAACAGCCACAATATTGTCAAATATTAAAACTGCTATGATAAAGTAATTATTTTTTCCAAATGACACAGATATTGGTTTGACATCGCTGTTAATAAGTAAAAAGTGCTTCCACCAAAGTGAATTCCTTAAAAATATTCTTTTAAAGATTCCAATCTTCCTCTTATCTGCAAAATTAACAAAGAGCTATAGAAACAGGTGATCTTGATTGATGTATGTCATTTCCAAATCGGTTTACCAGGGCTCAGCCATCCCCCAACTAATGGTTAGCAATTTGTTATTCGACTTTTGGGTGGTTTTCTATGAATTTTGTGACTCCAAACAGTTTTGTTGTGAAATAATATTGTCTACCTTTTCTATAAAAGGTACGGAAAGTTTTTGTTTTCATGTATTATTCGTTTCCTTAATCTAATTGAAAAGGACAGCAATATTAAGTCTCCACAACAAGATAATAAAAATAAAGATTTAATAAATATGTATACTGAAACACGAAAATGTAAATTTTATCAAAAATCCATCCTACTCTTCTCTATTTTCTCAAAATGGCACGAGAACAGAATAAAGTTAGTTGTAAACATTTTAAATTTCTTAATCGCAACTTATATTATATTACCTCCATAAAATCTTTTTATTTTATAAAAGAACCAAATCTTTAAACTTCATATAGATCATTATAACCCTGCGTTGTCTGCGTGTGTGTGTTATGCTTTCAGAAGACCAAAGTGAAAAGCTCAAGGAAGAATGGTTATTCGGATAAAATAATTAAATATTTATTTGTATAAATACTGAGCAATCTCTCTCATATCGTGTCTCTCTCACTACGAGACACTGGCGAAATTTCTGTGTAAAACGGAAACAGCCACAGAATACAAAAAAAAAAAACTTTAAAACTATTAATTTTTAACTTTAGAATTCCTGTTCTCATAACTCGTTGACACGGCTACCAAAAATTTAAGCATAGATGGAGTAAAAAAAAAAATATTTCTGACCAGTTTGGACGACAAAAAAAAGCCGGCTAACGCGACACTGTAATTGAATCCGGTAGTCAGTCGGACACTATCATAAATCTAGAGGGGTGACAAATTGAACAAAAACGTTGGTAGTTCTTTTTCTATACATAAGTAGTTGTCACCTGGTCTGTTAAATTGATTGGCGTAGCTTAAATACGTGGGCTTGCGTAACTGTACGAGCGCTAGTTTATCATAAGGCTTACTATAGAGTAATATTTAATCTCTCGGAGGAGCTCGATGGCGCAAGTGGTTAGCGCGTTCGGCTGCGATCGTTGAAGTTAAGCAACTTTCGCAGTGGTCGGTTATTGGATGGGTGACCAAACATTTACTTTCTCGAGCCCCTCCGTGCTTCGGAAGGCACGTTAAACCGTTGGTCCCGGCTGCGTCTGCAGTCGTTAACACCCACCAATCCGCACTGGGCCCGCGTGGTGGGTCATGGCCCAATCTCCCTATTCCATCCATAGGGAAGGCCAGTGCCCCAGCAGTGGGGTCATTAATAGGCTGATGATGATGATGAATATTTAATCTATACATATAATAAAATGGTAGGAAAGTCAAAACTGTACATTGAATATTTTTTTAAAATAATACTTGGATCTACAATCGATACCGAAGCCAAAAATATAGTTTTTAGAATTTTTGTCTGTTTATCTGTATGTATGTCCGCGATAAACTCAAAAGGTTCTGCATGGATTTACTTTAAATTTGGCACGGATATTATTAAGAAGTCGGGTCAACATATAGGCTACATATTATCACGCCATCACCTACGGGGAACGAGCAGTCAACCTTTATTACTAACTAACTCCACGCGTACGAAGTAGAGTAATATTTAATATTACATAGCTGAAGAGTTCCTTGTATAATACATATACAGTACACATATACGTACATTTATATAGAAACACATTTTAAACGTCCATGACTGGAGCACAAATGCACGTATTCATCACACAAACATCTGCCCCCACCGGGATTCGAACTCGGGACCTCTCGAGTTGGCGACACCATGAAACCCGGCGTACAAACCACTCGACCACGGAGGTCGTCAAGCATTAGCATTAAATTATTAGTTTCATTGCAAGTACGTTCCTTCAGCAAATTTATTGTCTCCCACAACCTCTTTTATGCGTAAAGAAAATTTTACTAAATAAGTATCCACGCGGACCAGGCAGCAGACGGGACTCAACCCCGCACCCTCCGCTATCCGGGCGGATTTACTGACCATTATGTTACTGCGGTCCTGATGGTCTATAATTTTCTCTAGTATTTCTTAGGCTACAAGGTAGCGCCATCTCTTCGCATTGTAGGTAACTTACTGTGTCAAATGAATACCTTTACAAGTATTAAACATTTGAAAGAAGAAATAGCAATCAAAGTTATATTTTTTATTTTTTTCAATTTAACATCTAGCAGTAAAATACTTAAAAACAGAAATAGAGTCTGTGCGGAAAGAGAATGGGATTTAGATTGGGGGGCGCTGTAGTGCTTTTCTACCGTATTAGTAAGGTTTTACCCCTTTTAGACATGATTAAATACAAAAAACCGCAAGAAATCACAACAACAAACAAATCCGTATCAATACAAAACTTTGACGTTTTACAGATTGCTGGGTTTGATTGCCAAATAAAAATCATAATGTTAGTTCCGTTTTGCGCCACGCCCATTCTATTTCCGCACAGACTCTACAATGTTATTTTTATATCATTATGAACTACATTCAGGAGATAGATTTGAAGTGGTTACACGTTCGGTTTCCAATAGTGCAAGTTAAGTAACTTACGCAATGGCTTCTCATAGAATTGGTGACCGAAACGCAGTACCTCGAACTCCTCCTCATTTCGTAAAGCACTTTAAACCCTTGGCCCCGGCTGCACCTGCAGTTGTTAACACTCACCAATCTGCACTAGACCAGCGCGAAGTTCTTCAGACCGCAGGGACGGCCTTTGCCTAGACATTCATAATAACTATTTGATATAGTTTTTTAGATATTACCTGCCAATTTTTGTTAAGCATTTGCTTATTTTTTACAAACAACAAAAATAATAGGATGTATCATTCCATTTTATTCATATTAATTTTTTTCCATTGCCATAACAAGCGTATTTTACAATTCAATAATATTAGATTAAAATCACATAGGCAGGATGGAGCAAATTCTGTACCGTGTTAATAGTACCAAGATGGTATATATCGATACGTATCAAACTGACAATACAAATCTGGGGATGTAATAAATCATTAATTATTCAGTCATTATTATCGATAATGAAAAACATCCTCTTAATATCCCCCTCCTAATGGATGGCGACTGCACTCTCCAGGAAGCCTCCTGCCGTCATTTGTTTAGTTGACATTTGACATCACTCAAGACGGCTCCACTTAGTGCCCGATTTTTTGTGTTCAAACCTACAAGTTTTTGTACGGTAATGTAACATTTTTGTGCGGTTATGTATGATAAATTCATGGGCTGGTTTTTAACAATATGCGTGTGGGTACGCGAATAGTTAAATACAATTTTCGCTTCAAATTCTTGATTGTGTTAATGTAAAAATTACCTAACTAAACCACACACCAAACACCTATTACCTACCTATGGAAACAATTTTTCTCTTAATTTTTTTTAATATAATATCTTGTATTTTTATATATTGGTACTTCCTTCTTATAATATTTGGCCGAAGATGTACGCCACTTTCTCACCCTTGGTAATTAATGCAGTCTTAATAAATTTTGTCCACCCTTAATTGCCAAGTAAATAAAAATGTGTGCTATGAATTCATATGTGTATTATGTCTTTTATATTATTATTCCTCCATACGAGAAAAACAAATATTAATTATCATTTATTGCGTAGCAAGAGCACGTAATCAAGCCTCTAGCTTACAACTTGCTTTCTAGTGTTATACGTGTGAAAAATGTGAGAACACGAATAACAACGGTAGTAACAGTACCACCGACTTCAGTAACAGTAAAATGACACAATCTTAATTGCTTCATCAAATACAAAATTTATTACAGCACCGTATTTTACTACAACCGAAAAAAAAGAATCGCGCGAGATAACAATAATAAATACGTTTAATCGATAACTTGTTTTTTATCGACTCTCTGCCGCACTAAAGTGAAGTTGTTTGTTTTGCCAGTAGCAAGTAGTGTCGCCTTGATAAATATCCTTAAAGATTGTGCGCTCTTCTCGATAATTTCTGTGTGAACCTCACACCATCAATCGCACGGAGATTTAAGCTTTATTCTCATACCTGTAAGGTTCAAATTCCAAAAGTGATGCCATAAGGTTGACCCAACCTGGTATGAAGATTTATAGGCCTCCCGTACTACATGCTTTATAGTTATTTGATAAAACACTATCGTGATTATTTAGCTTGACTTACCGAACGACGGCCGTCTATTTTATTTCTTCAACGTTTTATAATAAACTCGAAAGGTATATCGACTTTACTAAGTTAGATTCTTCTTTAACGCAACGATAATAATATGAAAAATTATCTGTCACTGTCTAAAAAAAAGCGGCATAATATGTATGAGACCGCGAACATGCTATTTTCTCCGTTGAACGACAAAAACGTGTAAAAACGCCGCGGCCCATTAACATAACAATCGACTGATTTCCTTTTTTTTCTCGCTTTCCAGGTAAAAAGTGGCGTTCGCTGACACCGCAAGACAGACGACCTTTCGTTGAGGAGGCGGAGCGACTCCGGGTGATCCACATGACGGAGCATCCGAACTACAAATACCGGCCTAGGAGACGGAAGCAGAATAAGACGAGACCTAACCAGCCTCCCACGCCTGCAAGCGCCCCACCTACATCATCAGCAGCCTTAGGCTCCCCCTACGCCACTGCGACTGACTCACCCGACGCAAGATTCTCCCACAACCCAGGAGCTGGCTTCTCGCCTTACCGCACGTCACCCCTCGCCCCCGATTCTTACCAATCAAACCCCCAGTTCAACGGACACGTTCAAACGCCCGAATCTTCCCCCGCTAGGTCCCCTGAACCACAAGGCAGGAGGAGTGCCCCCGCTGAAGCCCCGTTGCCGACACCAGACGCGTCTCCTGTAGAAAATGAGAAAGAGAACTTTCAGTATGAGGAGAGGCGAAGAGCCATCAATGCTTCTTCTCTATCAGAATCATATTCGCCTTACAAAACCTATAGGACCCCAGGGTCTTTCTCACCAGCGCCTGTCGCTGCTATGGGCATGGCCAACGGCATGTATGTGATGTGCACGCAGCGAACGCTAGCCGAACAGCCGCCACTAGTGACAGGAACTTTCTTTCCACCAGTAGCTACTTCGCAGGACCAGCAGGCTTTAGGCACGTCCACTCCGAAAGTGACATCGGCGCTGAGCGGTTCCATACCATCGGAATACAGCATTCAGTATCTCCCGTACGATCAGTACGAGCAAATGTACAAAACGGAGGAGTCATACGTGTGTCATTATCCGGAACAGCCCAAGACGGAGTACGACACTGGCGGTTCCTACTTCTCTGAGGAGCCACCTTCTAATCCACCGCAGGAGAACGAGCAGAACTACATGAATCCGCGTTCTGAAATAAGGACTGGTTCACCTGAGTCTGACGTGGACGCTAGGGAATTCGATAAGTATTTGGACTATGGCACTGAAGGTTCTATCGAGCAGCATCAGCAATATAGATATGAACAGCAGCAACAACAACAACAGCAGCAGCAAGGTTATAGGCCTCCCTACTGCCCTGAGCAGGCTCCAGGGCCTGAGTATTGCTCGGAGAGGGTGTATCCTTCCCCTTACGCGTCTGTGATTTCCGGCACCCCATCCGTGGGGCCGTACGCCCCTGCTCCGCCCGCTGACGTTAGACCCGAAGACGAATTCAGCGTAATCCTGGCTGGAGTCAGACAAACATGTTACAGCAATTGACTATACAGGACTGATATGGGGTAGAAATAATAGGGACACTTCCTGAATTAAGCCCAAAGAATTCGATCTTTTTTTTCGTTAAGCGTACCTGTTAAAGTGAGTCCTAAACCTGGTATTGCGCACTGATACATTTATAATAATGTTGACTTCTTTTTTCGAAAAATAAAAAATAAACTGGTTCCATAATCGTAATGTCACGGTTTCGAACGATAATCATGTTTCCTATTATATTGCGTATTTAAATAAAGTAAAAAAATATATTATTTAAAAATTTTCTATTAAATAAAAATTGAATGATCAGTAAAAGACTGGATCTGAGTTATTTTAAGGCTGTTATTGATGTACTTTTTGTATTTTACTGAATTATATTGGTGCTATTTAAGGAGGTCCTATAAAAGAAAAAATGTTTTAGATATTTTACATTTGCGTCCAAAACTATATACCATAGAGGTACCAAATTAGCGATTCCTATTAAAAAAAAGCATTATTTATTTGTAACTATTTTTGTATATTGTATACTTAGTGAAAATTAATAATGAGAAAATAATTAATCATTTTTATAGCTCTTCCATTAAGTCTGTAGATATAGGCTGTAAGATACCTATATATTTTTTAAACATGTTTTAGTTTATAGCATTATAAATTGTAAGTTATCTGTATAAATGTGTAAGATCGTTAAATAAAATAACTCATAGCAGTTAATTTGTACTAAATTTTAGAAAGTGTTTTTTTTTTATTTCTAGTTAATGTTGCAATTTTGTAGTTATTTAGAAAAATGTAAGAAAAAAACCACTCGCACTGCGACACTAAGTTCTTCCTAATTTTAAGAAAATTTATAAGAAGCAATAAAAATTATATTAAGAATTCCTTTTTTTTTATTCAAATTCACCCTTCAAAAGGCAAAGAATAATAATTATATACGGCCTAATCTTTATAAATGGCAAATGAACTCCCAATCAGCTGTCTCCTAATGGTACAGTCATAGCCATGACAGTAGTTACAGTTGCACTATGAACATAGCTCCTATTGCTTTACAATTAAGACACTCACTAATATATTATGTCTGGGGAGCTCTTGGTAACCAAGGTAAATCCAAAAAACAAAATTTTAAAACATGATGAAACAGAATAAACTGCATAGGAAATGGGTTCTTACTAATACCAAGTTGTCTATACATAATTGAATCTACCTATTAATCGAAGTATGTCATTTAATTAGTCAAATTAACTATGTCAAAAAATAATACGTATTTTTTTTTAAATTGGTTATTTTTTCCATAGTATTTTCACTTTTGTGTCGATTCTGGCATGATTCTCTAAACTTAAAATTAAATTTAAGATCAGCGTCACCGGGTTTGGGGACGGCGAGATCCTAAGGGAACCTCAAGCTGAGAATTGGCGTTTGCCTCTAGAAGTATTCCAGGCGGATGGCGTCTCCCAACAGGGGAGTCTCCTCTCGGTCTGGAATCTCTAGACCACTCGAACCTGAGGGGGTCGGGGTAACTAGAGAGCGTCTCTGAGACTCGAACCTCGGCTCTAGTTAGCCGTTGTCGTGGGATGCGCGCTGTCAGTACATTTGTCTTAGTAAAATTGCAAGAGTTCTTAAGTCCACCGTCCTATTTCAATTAAATGAAATTCATTATAGTCCTTATACCTTAAGAAATATGTGCAATTGATAAATTTATCATCATCATCATCAACAGCCCATCTTAATCCACTGCTGGACATAGGCCTCTCCAAATGCACGCCACTCAGATCGATCTTGGGCTACTCGCATCCAGCTCCCGCCAGCCACCTTGCGCAAATCGTCACTCCATCGTGCCTGAGGACGTCCTACACTACGTTTGACTAGACGCGGTCTCCACTCCAGAACTCGTCTACCCCAACAGTTATCGGTTCTTCGGCAAATATGGCCAGCCCACTACCACTTCAGCTTGCTAATGTATGGCGCCTATGCCAAGCAGTGGACTAAGGTGGTCTGTTGATGATGATGATGATGATAATGAAAAATTTAAACTCAAAAGTATTTGGTAATTATTTACTTTTCAATAGACTCATCATTAACGGGTTCGACTAGTGTTTTACCTACAAACTCCTCTAAAGTTGGGTGACATTTGGGAACTGTCAGTGATTAAGTAAATTTTTTAACTTGCATAAGAAAAAATGTATTGCTAAGATTACCTTTTTTTAATGCTAGTCAGTTGAAAATTAAAGTGTCCGTTTAATCCTTCTTGCCTATAGTAGGAGAGCCCAAGCGGGGATTTTTGGATTTACTCGAGCACGACAGAATAACATATGGGGAACAACCTTGCACATAGTTAAATACTCCCACCATACCTGAGCCTTATATGTAGAGCCGAACGTCTAGGGCCGCAAAAACAAAATTTCAACAAACGGCCATGACTTTTGGTCGGGTCCAAATCATCAGTCTTTTGAATAGGAACTACTGGAGGGTCATCCCTTCTCAATGTCTGACGCGCTCGGTTATTTTTTCCTCTATTCTACCCCTTCGTACGGCCACCCCCATATATTTTTTCCGTTCTTAGAAAGGTTACATGAACCCTCTAGTAGCTTATATTCAAAAGACTGACGATTTGGGCGCGATCCAAAAGTCATGACCGTTCGTTGAAATTTTGTTTTTGCTGGTGTGTGGAGTGTAGAACGGCGACATCGGTTCCCGCACAAACGGTCTTAGATCAGCCTTCTAACCTTTTTCTATGTTCTGTTGTACCCACCCAGCTGCCTCGCTAGGTTGTGATGGAATTCTTCACCTAGCCCCCATCCCCTTCCGGAATTCGTACCCAGATCCTCCAGGAGACAGGAGCGCTGCCGCAACGGCTCAAACCTCAAACTAACTGTTCGTCATACTTATGAACATAGAAAATGTTTGATCTTATAATTTACAACTGTCAAAAGTATATGGAGACACATAATCATGAAATTAAAAATATATATACTTATTGGGCAAAATATATATATACTGAGGAGCTCATGGCGCAAGTGGTTAGCGCGTTCGGCTGCGATCGTTGAAGTTAAGCAACTTTCGCAGTGGTCGGTCATTGGATGGGTGATCAAAAAAGTCGTAAAGCCGATGGTCCCGGCTGCATCTGCAGTCGTTAGCACCCACCAATCCGCAATGGGCCCTCGTGGTGGGTCATGGCCCAATCTCCCTATTCCATCCATAGGGAAGGCCTGTGCCCCAGCAGTGGGGACATTAATAGGCTGATGATGATGATGATGATTGGGCAAGCCCCAAGAAAAACACTATAATGTTACGGCCACACTATTGCACTATCTTTATTCTTTAATAAGGAACCGAACCCACTATCGCAAATATTTGTCGATTTCACAATGCATCTAAGCACACAATAGCCACATTTCTAACCGTGTAACGAAATGTGGCTATCGCTTGGCCCGACTTCTCGTGAAAACGGAAAATGTTCGCAATAGCGTGGCCGTAGCATAATGGCGCGCTTATACTTGATCGTTCGTACAAATACGAGTGCCAATGGAATTCGGGCAAACGACTATGTAAGAATGCCCGAAGAACCAACTCGCCAGAATGAACCTGGAAACGAAAATAAAATGCAAAATTAACATAGATACATTAAAATCAATAGTCTTAGACAAAAATAATAGAACACATTTATTCGTATATATAGTCGAAATTGTAAAGGCCGCAATTGAAAGAAATAAATCGTAAATATCTTATAGGTAATAAACAGTAAGGTCTAATATAATCTATACATACATTTATATATATATAGACATAATACACATAACAAATACTATAAAGTAAATAATTTGAAAACATAAACAAAGTCTCTGATTACGTCAGAGGATTAACTGCATCCGGACTAAGATCCGGAAAAAAAAAAAAAGTGTAAATGAATGGAGTCTAGTAAGCCTGTATTCGGGTAGATTTTCTTTTGTTTACCCAACACCGTCTTCCAGCTCGTATTTCAGTGTAAATATTGTATCGAGTGCCCGAATTCGAGTAATGCCTTTTATTCACCCGAATACATGCTAACTACCAAATTACTTATGCCGCACGCTTAGTTAACGCGTGCGGCATAAGGCTGGTGGTTGATACTAGGGTAACGAATAGAATTCATTTTCTGATACTTTAATAAGTATATTTTGCTAGATATAGCGTCTTTCCGATAGGAGCGCTGGGTGTGACCGCACCCGGGCGCCCCGGGCCCTAGGGGGCGCCAGCAGGGCCTACTTACTTACCCAACTACAATTTTATAAATACATATTACTATAAATAAATATTTATAAACAAAACTAAATCTTATGCACATACACATATACTTACATAAGTATGCTTGCTTATTTACGTGATTTATTTAATTTGTCAAATTTTTTGAAAAAGGGGACGCATTGTTGACTTTCGTACCCGGGCGCCGCATATGGTTAAGACGCCTCTGAGGAATAGATAAATTAACAACCATGATTTAGATAAAATTATTTGAATGCGAGAGGTATGAGTATAACAGCAAAATCTCTCTATAACCTTCTAAAAGATCTTGGCCTGTCGAGAACTGCAGTAAGTTCAATATTGGAACGAGTAACTGAGGCTGCACTAACAGACTCCTATGAAATTTGGCTAGGAAGAGCGGACAACTCGAGCAGTGAAGGTGAGCATTGATGAGCATCTCCAAGGGGGGCCTCCCTTGGACCTACACCTTTTTTTTCATAACGCAGGTAAAAAATCTTTTTACAGACGACGGTGCCTTTAAGAGGCACACCGCCGAACGCACCTCACACCTGGCTCCCGCAAGTCTTACGGACACCCAGTGGCTGCCCACCTCGGTGGGCAACTCCCCGCAACTCTTACGAGCGCTTTCCGGCATAATATCCTCTAAAAAAGTCCTGCGAATACCTTCAACACTGCTTGATGCGGAGCCGCGAGATCCCCTGGTGAGGGATTTCTCCGCATCCCCGCACCCAGTAGCTTCCCGGCCTCGCCGGGGCTCCAAGGCAGGGGTCTCCCGAGGTATTGCGGAGACCCCGCAGACGTGCGCAGGTAGGGCCACGCTTGGGGGCTGAATACGCGGCCTAGTGCCCACCGTACCGCCCCCCGTCAGCTGCCTAAACCTACACCTGGGTCGCAAGTCCCAGGAACTGTTCAGAGTTTCTCTCTCTTCCACACGATGGACCCAGCACCCGCACGGTGAATCCATGGATTGCTAAGAAGTTCGTCATTCTCTACAAACATTTGCCGCACCGGA